GTAAACCTTTAAGAATAAGTACCACATGTGACTCAGAATTCAATAGCTTGCTCTACTACTTTCTATGGAACCAAATCAAATCACTTTCTTGGAAACATATTATGTCCTCCAAGGCACATAAACAAATTCACTTTTCTGAGAGATCACTCAGATTTTCTGTCCTCCATAGTTACAATTAGTATTTCAACAGAATAAACTTTTCCACTTTAGGGATTCCTTATTACTCAGGCGTGACAAAATCCAAAAACATCATGAATAGGTATTTGCTAGATACGCTTATCAGCTGAAGTCACTGGGGCCATCTAATCAATATGAACAGGGTAACTCTCATGTTAAAGAACACTCTCTGGATAACTCAGAAACAACCAATATCTGCAATGGATTCTGTCATAATATGAATTTGGAGAGGGGTATGAAGGTGGGGTATGGCAACAGTTAATCTTGCCTCTTGGTAAAGGACTGTGTAAGTCAGACAGATTTAAAGTTTAAAAATAATTGTGCCATTAGAGGAGAAAGGAAACTAACATTCATAGAGTACTATTGTGTATTGGCCCCTTTTCAATCCCTCATTTAATCTATTTTTTTTTTTTTTGAGGTTTTTGCTATAGGGCGCATGTGTTTGCCAGAAAGACAGAGAGAGACAGCGACAGAAAGCGAGAAATCACTCCCCAAGGGGGATGGCCACGCCACAATCCCTTCTCCTCCATTCTCCTCTCGGGATCTTGGGCACGCACACACATGCACCTGGTGTGAGCTTAAGCCACCGAGTCTGGGACTTGAACCGCAGTCAACTACATGGGAGTCCAGCAACATAGCCATTACACCAACTGCTGGTCTCACCAATCCTTCATTTAATCTATACTACTGTCTTTGTTATTTCCCTTTTACAGATGAGTAAACGAAAAGCTACAAATGAGTGAAAAGAATGTTTGAGAAGGTTAGTAACCTGACAGGGTCATACAAATAAAAAATGGCAGAATTAGGTTTTGAACTCAGGTTTGTTTACCTTTAAAAACGAAGAGCTTAACTTCCATGCATTAATGTTCCTTTTCATATTATTTGCCCATGATTAAAGAGAGAGGGGAGAGCAGATATAGGATATAAATTTAAATCTTTGACTGTAGGTCCAGTGACTTTCCTATCCTCTTTGAGTCTGAAATAGATCCAGATGTTAGGGCAGGCACAGACCACTGTGTATTTGGAAGGACAGGCTGTTCATATCCTTGCATTCGACTCAATTCTAAGGCAGCTATGAATGTCAGTGTTCCCTTCTCTGTGCAATGTTGTCCTTATCCTTCTCATATGCACTTCTATGATGCCTTAATTTGTGAGTCAAGTTTTGAATATAAATGTCTCATTTCCCTTTCCAAACAGTTTTTCAGGCTGTTCATAACTAGCAAAGAGTACAAACACATACATACATGGCAAGATTGAAAGACAAGCTAACTATGGAAAGAAGACTTTTGTCTTTTTTGGTTTTAAGTTTTGTTGGAGGTTGCAAGCACTCACTAGAGACAGGGAGAGAGAAAGAGGGAAAAAGCACTCCCCAGTGGAGGACAGTCATGCCACAATATCATCTCCATTTCTTAATCCTCTTTTGGGATTTTGGGCACACACACAAATGTACCCTGTGCATCTGTCAAACTTCTGAGTCTGGGATCAAACCATATGGTCAGCCATGTGAAATCCAGTTTCCTTAATCACCAGGTCACAAAACAGGCTCAAAATGAAAATTAAAAAAAAAAAATTAGTATTTTAAAATTTATTGTCATTATTCTATTCTATTCTATTCTATTCTATTCTATTCTATTCTATTGAAGTTGATCAGAGAGAGACAGAGAGAGAAAGAAAGTGAGAAAGCAAGTTGCCAGGTCTGAGACTCGAACTGTGGTCAGCCATGTGGGAGTCTAGCTGCCTTAACCACCATGCCACCTGCTGGTCCCTAAAATGAAGATTTTAAAATAATGCTACAAGGCATTGACATTGGCAATGTAAGTGTTCCCAGTTTTCATCTTTTTTTTGTTTGTTTGTTTTTGTTTTTTTGTCATAGGGTATGTGCATTCACCAGAGAGACAGAAAGAAGGAAAATGAGAATTACCCTCCCAGGGATAACGGCCATGCCATAATTCCATCTTCTCCCATTCTGCTCTCAGTATTTTGGGCACACATGTACCTAGTATGATTTTCAAGCCTCTGGGTCTGGGGCTTGAACCATGGTTGGCCATGCGGAAGTCCAGTGCCTCAATCACCATGCCACCTCCTCCTACACGCAGTTTCTATCTTTAAGATCCCTTTTATTTCCATTGCACATGTTCCCAACTCTTGCAGCTAATGAAGTCTTTATCTGCAAATATTCAATTTATTTCAAACATGTATTGAGGGAACCCTATGCCAAGCAAGTCACGGTGTTAAGAGTATGATATAAATCTGCTATGGTCTCTGTACTGGGCATCCCCTGAGTTCTTCTGACCATTCTTCTTATTTACCTTTATTTTATTTTATTTTAATTTTTATTTTTTTTAAGTTTAGTTTGGTATAGGGTGCATGTACTCGCTGGAGAGAGAGAAAAAGTGAGAAAGAACCCTCTAAGGGGGATGATTATGTCACAATTCCCTTTCTTCCACTCTCCTCTTGGGATTTTGGTCACGTACACACATGTGCCCAGTGTCACTGGGTCCAAACTCGAACTGTGAGATTGGGATCCAGTTAACCACCATGCCACCTGGCTGTCCTGTGTTCTTACCATTCTTGGGTAAGGGTTGATGTTGTCTCTTTTGGTTCAGCTGTTCCTGGTGTCCCAAGTGGAAAGCTCCAGCTTCCTCCTGAGAGACCACACTGAGTTGGGTCTCCATCTGCTCTCGTTGGAAGTCTGCTACCTCCCAGGGTGTTCCAAGTGGGGCTTGCTTCTCCAAGTGCATGGGACTGCTGACCTGTGAAACAGTGTTATTACCTTATTGGAAGGTAGAAGAAGAGGGGTCCAAATCAGGGCCGAATTTCCCCAAGAAAGATAACAAAGAAGAACAGAAGAAGTGAGAAGGAATGAAAATTTCATGCCATTCCCAAGAGAGTCTCTGAGGGCACTGGGTTAATAGTACTGTCCAGGAATGTGGGTATAAAAGAACAGGACATATTACTCTATAGAAGGGGAAATCTGTCTAGAGTGAAATACAGAGCTTTCTTTTTACTGTTGGGTTGTCTGAAAAGTCATGACATATTTTTTTCTGTTTTTCTATGCACAAATGCATCATGACTTTTCTGATGACCCAATAAAATAGTCTTTAGTTGAGTCCTCACATCTACTACATTCACTGAAAAATAAAAGTTATCAGAACACTATATATTCACTAGTGAACTGAAAACTTTAAGTTAATTTTAAGTTAACAGTTAACTTAATTAACAGTTAACTTAATTAAAATTAGTCCCCACATCTATCTGTATTTCCCTGACTAATACAGCAACCTCTGATAGTAAGATCTTTACCAAATACAAATCCTGTGCAAGGTGAAACTGCAAATATTGCAGATGTTGCAGGATTTCTGAGGTTAATGAAAGGGATGTTGAAGAGCATGCAAAGCCCTGAGAAATGAATATCTGACAGTTAAGCTGAAAGAGTGAAAAGGATGATGGCATTGAAAGTGCTTGAAAAACTGACTGGAGCATCAAAGGATCAGAGAGGCCCTGAGGTAAATGATAAAGTTCTTATTCTTCCTTTTTCAGGTCTACATTTCTCTTTTTCTTTCTTTCTTTCTTTCTTTCTTTCTTTCTTTCTTTCTTTCTTTCTTTCTTTCTTTCTTTTTGTAGCAAAAATAGCTCTCTTTAGGATCAAGCAGCAAAAGTCAAATCTAACCATATTGTTACCTCATATACAATTCTGTTGGGAACATTTCAAAGATTAAATACTTGGATGCACAATGTTTAGCTTCATTTGCAAGATATTTCAACCAACACCTCTCCCTATTAAATATTAAATTCTGATCCCTTTTAAGTGGATTCATTTTAGGGGGCCTTTTATTAGCAGCACTTGGCTTTCCAGAATGAGCATTTCTTCCTGCAATGCATCCTTCCCTGTCCACCTGTCTCTTCTACCCTCTTCTTTCTAAATACAAAAATTAGGAAAATCTCTCACCTGCTGTCCTCGTCTTCCAGTCTCTTTCTCCAAATGGACTACAAGGGCCACTGCCTCTTCTCCACTTTCTGGACACTGCTTCTGTGCCCAACACTGAATCTTCTCAGGCAAAATGGTGAGAAACTGCTCAATCACCAGCAGCTCAAGGATCTGTTCCTTGGAACGCATTTCTGGTTTCAGCCACCGACAGCAAAGTTCCCAGAGTTTACTGAAAGCTTCATGTGGTCCAGTCACATCCTCATAACAGAATTGCCTGAAGCATTTGCGAAAGGCCTCAGACTCAGAGCTATCCGATCCTTCCAGAATGGGTTCCGATGCCCATTCAGGGTCCTTTTCCACCTTCATTATTAAACATCCCTCAACCTCCAGGGGGGCGTCGATGTGAGGCTCCAGGGTTGTAGTAGCCATACTCCAACTTGGGAATCAACCTCGTGTCTAGATCCAACAGGGGGCCAGATAAGCCCCCCTCCAAGAGCACCCTGCTTAATGTTCTCGAAGTGAGAAAGAGGGGAGGTAAAAATGGTATTG